GATTCAAATATTGGAGTACACCATAAATAATATTTTATTAGATCTCTGACTCTAAATATTGAATTCAGATAACTAATTTAAAAATATTGAAAAAATATTTATAAAATTTAAGTAAGACTGTGACTTTTTCTGATCGCTTAGAGTCTTTTATGGTTTTGTTTTCACTACAAATCCATAACCCCACGCGCCGCCGTTCGGGATGACCACGGTCAAAAAGGTCGAGTATCACTCATGTTTAATCTTTTTGAATTGAAGAAAGGGTTAAGGTGCACCCTGCACCCCCAAATATTTTGTCAGGTGCACCCAGTGGCTTAAAGTAATTTATGGTGCAATTTTGCCCTCAAAATAATTAAAATGGTGCATCGGTATCCCATGCTAACAGACCTGTTACTTTGACCGTTAAATTGATGAGTCAGCACAAGTTTGACCAAAATAATCTGACGTGGCATGTCTAATAAGCAGGTAATGTGGAATTTTTTCGGGGTTAAAGTGCATCCAACACCCCCAAGTATTTTTCCAGGTGCACCCAGTGACCTAAAGTAATTTATGGTGCAATTTTGCCCTCAAAGTAATTAAAATGATGCACCGGTATCCTATGCTAACAGATCTGTTACTTTAACTGTGAAATTGATGAGTCAGCACAAGTTTGACCAAAATAATCTGACCTGGCATGTCTAATAAGCAGGTGACATGGCTTTTCTTGTTAATTCCATTGTTTTGTCTAAATATCACTCCTCTGGTCCTATTTATAAGGCACTTCCAGCATGTTTCACACAGACCAAGGAAAACCTTAAATTTCATTAACTCTCATTTAAATTTTAATAACATTTCAACTTTATTCCTATTTAATATACATTATACCTCATATAAACAAAGTCAATACAATAATAAATGAGGGGTAAATTTGTACATTCATACAAAAAATTTATCTCAGTGCCTTATAAATAGGACCAAAAAATATCTTCTCTCTCTATCTCATAAATAGGACCAGAGGAGTATCTCTGAAAAAATTTCTTACTCTGAAAAAAATTCCAAGAGCCGAAGAGAGCATTTACTAAACAGAGAAAACAAAGCAGTGGTAGACGAAAAAAATTCCACATCACCTGCTTATTAGACATGCCAGGTCAGATTATTTTGGTCAAACTTGTGCTGACTCATCAATTTCACAGTCAAAGTAACAGATCTGTTAGCATAGGATACCGTTGCATCATTTTAATTACTTTGAGGGCAAAATTGCACCATAAATTACTTTAGGCCACTGGGTGCACCTGGAAAAATACTTGGGAGTGCTGGATGCACCTTAACCCCGAAAAAATTCCACATCACCTGCTTATTAGACATGCCACGTCAGATTATTTTGGTCAAACTTGTGCTGACTCATCAATTTAACGGTCAAAGTAACAGATCTGTTAGCATGGGATACCGGTGCACCATTTTAATTACTTTGAGGGCAAAATTGCACCATAAATTACTTTAGGCCACTGGGTGCACCTGACAAAATACTTGGGGGTGTTGGGTGCACCTTAACCCTTGAAGAAATTATACATGAAGGAATGGAGAATAACAAAAAAAAATACTTGTTGAATTTTAAAATAATAAATAAATGGTTTTGACAGATTTCATGTTTTCCAAATTAAAGTGCATGTAATTGTTTACCCCAGAAAAAGTCTATGCAATTTTTTTGACTCAGAGACATTGGGCATGGTGCCTCTAGATAGAGCCCGGCACCTTGAAAATTCTCCGTACTTTGTGCTCGGTAATATATGTCAAGGAGGGAAAAACACATTTTGGAATTTATTTATTACTTTTTAATTCATATTATATCCACCATTTTCATTACATGCATATACTGAATATTACTTTGATAAGCTGAAAAATTTTTAAAAAAAAATCACTTCATTACATTAAACAGAAGTTTGGAAATTTTTTATATATCTTTGGCTATTATAGTTTTAATGATGTCATCATGATTTGCATTTTTTGCTATTTTTTAAAAGTAGAAAAATGGAATATTCATTATTTTCATCTAATTTAATATCCTTTCATGTCTGTCTAATTTGTATATCGACACCTAACTGCGTCTAGATATAAATGATTTAGTGGGCAATATTTCTAGCCGACTTGGTAATCTTTCGAGCTTGGAAATATTTTGGCTTGGTTACAATGATGGTTTGAAAATTGATGACAAGCGCTTAGTCGGCATTGAGTGGCTTTCTAATCTTCAATTGTTAACTTCATTTGATTTAAGCTGTGTTTCCGATCTTAATTACTCCAACAACTTTTTGCCAATTATTGGGAAGCTTCCAGACCTGAGAGAGCTATTGCTTGCAAATTGTAGCTGACAGATAATAATATTCTATCAACTCCTCCATCCCATTTGAATTTTTCTGCATCTCTCTTAGCTCTTTATCTCTATGACAACAAGCTGACATCATCATTATTCCCTAGGCTATTCAATCTAAGCTCCAATCTCACATACCTTTCTCTGTCCCACAATCACTTGGGTGGTCCCATTCTGGTCGATTTTGGAAAAAACATGAACTCTTTAGTGGCTCTTTACCTTAATGATAATGAGCTAAATGGAACAATCAGTGACATCTATTTTGATAATCTCACCAAGTTAAAAGACTTGGACTTATCTGATAATTTATTGACCCCCAAATTCAGCACCGATTTGATTCCTCCATTTCAATTACAAGTGTTATGGTTACAACACTGTAAGTTGGGCCCTGGATTCCCTAGATGGCTTCGCACTCAAACTAATTTACAACTGTTATATGTTTCTGATGCTCAAATCAATTATTCTATACCAGAGTGGTTTTGGAGACTTGGAAAGGGAGCACATTGGCTTCAAATAGAATCTAGTAATCTTACAAGTGTAATTCTGGATCTGCCACTTGAATTTAATGTTTATGACATATCATTGGCTTCCAATCAAATTAAAGGCTCTATTCCACTGTTCCTACTGAAAAGCCGATTTTTAGACATCTTAGAAAATCAAGTTTCAGATTTTGTTCAATTGTGTGGCAAGGAAACAAGTACAATTATTGAAAATTTGGTAGCTTTAGATCTCTCAAGCAATAACTTATTAGGGGAACTTCTTGATTGTTGGAATCATTTCCAATCTTTAAAAATTTTGGATTTATCCAATAATCAACTCTCAGGAAGGATTCCTAACTCTATAGGATCCTTAAGTCAACTTAAGTAGTTAGTTTTGGAAAATAATTGCTTCAGTGGTAGATTACTATCCTTGAAAAATGCAACTGAACTGAAAATGTTAGATTTGGAAATAAATGACTTGTTAGGACCAATACCACCATCATGGATGAGATTCTTGGATCTCTCTTTTAACAATTTTACAGGACCAATACCAAGTTGCCTCAATAAGCTGGTTGCTATGGCTCAAAAATATGTTGTAAATGTTTTTGAATGTGACATCAACCTCTTTGAGAACGGAAAATTTCAAGCAAGTGAATCTTTTGATTGGAAGTTGCCTATGGTGTGGAAAGGAAGAGAATTAGTGTACAGTGATCGCTATGGGCTTATGAATATTGATCTCTCGCGCAATCAATTGGTGGGGGAAATGCCAATAGAAATTGTGAACTTGGTCGAGTTGAGATTCCTGAATCTATTATCAAATAAGTTGAGTGGAGAAATCATTTCAGAGATAGGACAACTAAAATCTCTAGAAGTTCTAGACCTATCAAGAAATCATTTTGATGGAGAAATTCCTTCAAGTCTTGCTGAAATATCTTCCCTAAACACTTTAAATTTATCAAACAACAACTTGACAGGACAAATTCCAATAGGAACACAATTGCAATCTTTTGAGCCCTCCAGCTATGAAGGAGATCCTTACCTCTGTGGGAGGCCGTTGGACAAGCTCTGTCCTTCTGAAGATCATCCATTAGGGATGCAACTCAAGCTACCCAAGGTGCTGATAAAGATGACTCTTTTATGAAAGGATTCTATGAAAGCTTGGGCGTGGGATTTGCTGTTGGATTTTGGATAGTGTTTGGATCAGTGTTGGCTATTCGATCATGGAGGCATGCCTACTTCAATTTGGTCGGCAAGGCGTCAGACTATCTGTGGGACAACAGTGCTTCTTGTGGCAAGATGGCGCAGGCATCTCCGCAACTAAAAGGTAATATTTTCTTAATTAAGGTTGCTATCTATCATCAAAAGATTTACATTACTTTTGTGTTTCTTTCTAAATGATATATCAGTTGTAAGATTTAATTGTTTTGTTACTGATTGTCATCATATCAGTTGGAGCTTGTCAGCTTGGGATTTATCTGCAGCAGCTCGGGTATAACTCTTCTTTATCAGATTCGGCCGCATGTGTCATATATTAGCGGCTGCAATATTATCTGTGATACAATAGTTTGTGCAAGTAGACATGTAGTGTGATAGAAATTAATTAAACACAGGAATAAAAAAAAGGATAGCACCCAGACTTGAACTTCATGGTTCTTTTTTATTAGTTGTTTTAGCTTGGGAATCATGTATTGGGATTGTACTTTTATCGTAACCTTCATCGGTATGAATTTTCTTTTGTGATGAATTTTATTATCATACTACGTATATTCAGAAATTATATTAGACCTTATGACGAATCATGAGCAGAACTGCGAGTAGTTATTATATGCAATTTGTGAATTTGGAGAAGTCAAGGTGGTGCTTATAGAAAGATTTTCATATTCTTATCCAGCGCAATCAGATCCATGCACCATTTCTCCAAATCTGTTGTACCACTCTTCTCTCTTCTCTATCACACATGACAAAAACTTCAGGAAGAACACATAACCTGGTCTTAAAGCTAAGGGCTATTAAAATGCTATCCAAATCTTGAAAGCCCTCATAGCTGTAAATGGGGAACAGAGTCGAGGTTTTCTGGCAGCACACTGCTACATCACAAACCGAAACAGTCATAAACTTCATTATCCAGGTCTAATTGTCATATTAGCTCATTCAGAAAGTGGTAAGATATATTCGTAGACCTCATCAGGAAGAGTCTTGGACACGCTCTCCCTGCACTGAAAGCCACATAAGAGCTGGCTTGAAACTAAAGAAACTATAAGAGAAAATGAATAAAACAAGAAGTCATTGCAGCGTTGGATGTGATAAGTTAATTAATAGTGACTAGGATTATACATATTTCATATATTAGATCATGGACTATTTCTATAATGAACTCGTGTTGTTCTGTTTCTTTAAGCTGCTTAAATTCTTTTATGATGCTCTCTGTTTATGATAGATTCCTTCAACCATCTCTAGTTTTGCTGTTCTTATCCTTAGCTTACAATAATTTAATAAAAATGTATATGAAATGAATAAAATATATTCATAATGCTCTATTAGTCAGCAGGTAGTATGGATCAAAACCCTTGAAATTTTATTTCATTTTTTGCAATCTCATTTTTCATAACTACTTTAAGCGAATTCCGAAAATGGGGTCTTTTTGCTTAGAAAATATTGTTCTTAATTTCTATATCATTTTTAAAATAAATATTAAATTTAGTAAAGTGGATATTGAATTCATTTTTAAAATATTACTTCCACAAACACACAAGCACTATCGAAATAATCTAATTATGCTTAGTTTAATAGATATAACGGAATTATATACAAACGCATAAAGCCACTTGCCAAAAATTTAAACAAAACATTTTGAGAAGGTGCTAAAAAATGTTTTTCCAAGCAGGTAGCAAATAAATAGAAAGTTCGTCAGTGTGGGTGTCTGTATATAACAGGTCATGGACGCTGTCTATTGAAAAAACAAACTGACCTTCGGATAATCAGATAATTTTGAAATTTCAATTGTAATTCTGCTAAAGAGGGGGGAAAAACTATAGTTCTAGATTAATTTAACGTTTTAAAATTATATTACTTTTTTCCATAACTTGAATACAATAGTACCTTTGGCCTAAAAAAAAAAACAATAGTACCCATCTTTTTTTTCTTTTTACCAGCAACAATAATACCCATCTTTGCAATTATGAATAATCTAGTAAATTAATAAATAAAATCGAAAAAAAAATTATCATTTGCACGTACTTCTTTTGTTTTTTTTGGGTACAATGCACGTTCATTTATTATAAATTATGATTGACTAGTCATGCTAAGAGCCCAAGATTTCCAATATTTTGCACCCAACTAGGTACATATATAATTATGGAGTCCTTAGATTTGTAATGTTTTATTGTTTTTAATGTTTTGTAAATTCCAATACCATAAATTCGTAATAAGGATCGAGATTAATCGGCAACAAGACCCTAATTAACTCTGTCTATGTTCACTGGAGTCTGAGTTTCTGAGAATTGGTTGCAAACATCAAGCACATGAATGATATATAGTTTTGGTGTTTTTTTTATAACTATATAACCAACAGAATGACTGAAGAATAAAAATAAATAAGTTCTCAATTGAAAATGCTTCGCACTAATGCTTCCAAAAGCATCAACTTGGTTTTTTCTTCTTCTTCTTCTTCTTTTTTTTTTTTTAATTTTCAACTCATGAGTATGTATGTGTGTCAAGTAGTTGGCCATTAAAAAATCTCAAAAGGAAAAATTGACACTACCTCATTTTCCCTTCTCTCTTATTATTAATGAAGTCCTACTTGACGAATGACAACACCGGGGAGGCCCCTTCAATTCATTACCATGTCTCTTGACTCTGAAATTTTGGAAGGCATGAGTCCTCCCTTCACTACACCCAAAATCAATTTGGAATCCTTAATCCGAACTTCGTTTGAAACACAATACAGTGAGGAACCAAAGTTCATTTTAAGAGATTATATAAATGATGAAAGAATAATAACAGAAACATCACAAAGGATTCACCCCAAAATCACAATGGTAAAAGGGCGTTATTTACTTCACTTAGTTCGGATCTTACAGAAACAAGAACATAATTTGATTTCCTATTAAGGCATTAAAGCTGGCAGACACACCCAAGTGGCCCCAAACTCACAGCCTCAAGTCTTAGCAATCAAGCAAGCACACTACTATAGATCAAACCAAAACAGTTATAAACTTGATAATCCAAGGCTAACCTGTCATATTAGCCCATTCACAAAGTGCTTTTTATTCATTCAAGCTCCAGTCGTCACCTTGGTTACGGCCAAGGTATATTCATGGACCTTCTTCTCATCAGGAAGAGTCTTGGACACACTCTCTCTGCTCTGAACGCACCTCTTCACCCAGGCCATGAGTTTAGGGCACTCTGTTTCCATCTTGAAGTGGCCATGAATCTCAAAGCCGTAAAACCAGCAAGAAAATGGAATCAAACCAACATCAAGAAACCCAAATGAGTCACCCCCGTAAAAGGGCTTGTCCCCAAGTGTTCCTTCGAGAAGCTTAAATATGTCTAGCAGCTCTTTCTTTGCTGCCTCGTGCTCTTCTCCTTTTGAAAGCCACAATTTCCCCATTGTCTCATACACCTGCATCCCCATCAATCCGAATTCTTTTTATTCACAAATCACAAGAGATATAAAGATGAAATATAGGTTTCCTCTTCAAATATAAAAAGATTTTGGTGCTGACATGAGATGAACAGAAAGCATAGTAAGTAGAACAATTCATAGAATCTACCTTTTTGTCAATGAAATCAACCCAGAATCTGGCTTGAGCTCGCTCGTATGGATCTGAAGGCAAAAGAGGAGATTTTTCCTTCCACACCTCGTCGATGTACTGCACAATAATGGCAGATTCGCAGACGGGTTTGCCGTTGTGGATTAGAACTGGGATTTTCTTGTGAATCGGATTCATTTGCAGAAGCAGAGGGCTCTTGTCCCTCATATTCTCTTCCTTATACTCATAATTCACACCTTTCTCTGCCAGTGCGATCCTAACCCTCATTCCAAACATGCTCGCCCATGTATCCAACAGAACTACCTCGCCGGCCATTGTTGCGCTCGATCCTCGAACGGTCGAGTTATCAGAGTTAGGGAACCTTCAGTGAATAAGAAAATATCTATAGGTCAATAAACGGGCAAGGGCTGATTAAGTTCAACCAGCCTTATACCCTGTAAATGGAGATACGGTTGGCGATAAAGCAGATGGAGACAGAGATGTTTAGGCCCAAAAGGAACAGGAAAATTCTCTAGCCCACACCCTCCAGAATTCTTGGGTGATCCCATGCTCCCATAATGGCGTCATTATAATTAATTACATTTAGGAGTTCTCTGACCCTGTTATCTAGAAAACTAATTCATTGACATGTGTCATTTTTATAATTCCTGGTCTTTTTATTTTGGAAGTCATTCCTACTTATCTTCCATATAAACCAAAACAGTCACAAACTTCATTATCCAGGTCTAATTGTCATGTTAGCTCGCTCAGAAAGTGCCTAGATATATTCACAGATCTTCTTCTCATGAGGAAGAGTCTTGGACACACTATCCCTGCACTAAAAGCCACATTTTCCTAACAGTTACCACCCGATCCTTAATGTGTAAGAACTGGTTTAAAACTAGAGAAACTAAAAGAGAAAAAATGAATAAAACAAGAAGTTATTGCAGCGTTGGATGTGATAAATCAATGAATAGTGACTAGGATTATATATATTTGATATATTAGATTATAAACAATTTCTTGTAATAAACTCGTGTTGTTCTGTTTTTTTACTCTGCTTTAAATTCTTTTTTGATTGCCAAAAAACAAAATTCTTTTCTGATGTTTTCTGTTTCTAGAAGATTCCTTCAACCATTTCTACTTTTGCTTTTGCTGTTCTTGTTTTATTCTTAGCTTTCAAGTAGCATTCTTTGAGATAAATGATACTCTTCCGGTGTAAGACTCTTTTAGTAGTATAAATTACACTATAAAAAAAGTCTTATATTTAGGATCGGAGGAATAATAGATATTACTTCTTCATATGACTATATTGGTCCTATAAATTGCTAGGTTGGCTCAAAGTTCAAACATCACACGCACAACATTGATCAATCCAACTTACCTTGAGTCGAAAATCATTTATTAGGGACAAATCATTTGCTTGCATGTCATTTTTATTTTACAGATAGACTAGTTACATTTTGTTTCTTCTTTCTAAATTATTTATTGACTGTAAGATTTATTTTTTATTGCTAATCCAACTATACAAGAGTGGATGCAAACAATGTGTGATATGAGTTTATGGATATTGTTGACTGAATTTCCATAATCAATCATCACGCCAATAAATCATGAAGGAACTGGAACAACTCTTGGCCCTTGCAATTTAGGGCGGGTTTGAAAATTTGTTCAGTGACTTAAAAATTTAGAGTTAGTAAGAAAATTTCAAAGTTATTGGTTGTTATCAGTTAATTAAAAGTGGCCAGGATTAAATAAATAACACGATTGGATATAATACAATAATTATGATTAAATAAATAACTACGATTAACAAATTTAGAGATAAATAAATTTGATTGTGAAAGGAAATTATCTATTTTTACCTTCCCATTGAAAGCAATTATATTTAAGGTACTGTCAAGTACTAAATATGAACATCTATTCTAACAGAAATTTGAATATCGAATTTAGATCAAGACCACCCATTGGCAAAAAATCGTCCATTTTGACAGCTGAATAATGAATTATTAAGAAATATAGCATGAAGCGTTTTAAAAATGTTGGATCACAGAATTTTATTAAGAAATTACCGAGAATGACCGGCAGCTCCATCCAGTAAATGGTTTTGGGAAGACAATATGTGGAAATTAATTTTATGGTGAATTAATTTGACTGAATTTATGTTATTTTTAAAAGAACGTAAATTTTTCCATATACTAGATGCCGGAGTGTGGCATAAAAAATAATATTAATTTATTACTTTATATATTTATATATATGTATGTATGTATATATTAGGTGTATTTGACTTGAATTACATAATAGAAGGGGTATAAGAGGGTGTTTAGATAGAAATCAAATCATAATTTTAAAAATAATTTCACAGTGTACAAAATAATTATGTGAGAGAATTTTTATCTCAAATTGTATAAAAATATTTTTTAAAAATGCTTTTTCTTAATTCCAAACATCTCCTAAATGATATTTCATCACTTTGAAGGTATTTGTAAATTTAAAGGAGTGAAAGACTGTGACTATTGTTGGTTGCTTGGAGTCTCTTGGTTTAACTCCAAATCCCTAGCTCCACGCCATGCGCAATAGCACGGGATGACCACGGCAAAGTACTCTTCATAGAATAATTAATGAACTTTTGACTAAACAATGCACCCTTCGCCACACACATATGGGTGTCTGCATTATGAGAAATAATTCCAAAGATTATTTACTATCGAACAGAAAATCATGTTTAAAATTTTTTCCAATTATTTAATAAAAAAAGTATATGAAATGAATAAAATACATTCATGATGCTCAACAGCCAGTGCGTAGCTCAAATCTCACTGAAAACCGTTAAAGTCTTATTTCCTTTTTTGTAGTCTCATTTTTATAACTATTTCAAGTGAATTCCAAAAATGGGGTTTTTTTGCTTATAAAATATTGTTCTTAGTTTCTATATCATTTTTAAATAAATATTAAATTTAACAAAATATATACTGAATTCATTTTTAAAATATTACTCTCAGAAACACACAAGCACTATCGAAATAATCTAATTATGCCTAGTTTAATAGATATAACGGAACTATATACAGAAGCATAAAGCGACTTGCCAAAAATTTAAAAAGAAACATTTTGACGAGGTGCTAAAAAAAATTTTTTTCCATGCAGGTAGCAAATAAATAGAAAGTTTGTTAGTGTGCGTGTTTGTATTAAGACGTCATAGATGCTGTATATTTTAAAAAAAAACAAATTAGAGAAAACACTATAGTCTTAGATTAATTTAATGTTTTAAAATTATATTACTTTTTTCTATAACTTGAATACAATAATACCCATCTTTACAATTATGAATAGTCTAGTAGATTAATAAATAAAATCGAAAACGAAAATTATCATTTGTACGTTTTTTTTTTTTTGGGCGTACAATGTACGTTCATTTATTATAAATTGTGATTGATTAGTCATGCCAAGATTTCCATTCGCACTCAACTAGGCGCATATATAATTATGGAGTCGTTCAATTTGCAATGTTTTAATATTTTGAATATTTTGTAAATTCCAGTGCCATAAATTCGTAATAACGATCGAGATTAATTGGCAATAACACCCTAATTAACTTGGATTATGTTTCACTGGAGTCTGAGTTTCTGGGAATTGGTTGCAACTTCTTGTCAGCATCAAGCACATGAATGATGCATAGTTTTGGTGTTATTTTTCATATTTATATATGCCGTGCGCTATACTGACCGAAGACCTTGACTTGTATACGACCGACACGCATGCAATTATTGTGCTAAAGGGAGATTACTTAATCCCCGGAGTGAAGCATGCATGCATATCACTTGACGGTGGATCTACCTTTGCGAATAATTTTTCATTAAAAGTTGCTTAAAAAAAAAAAACCGACTTATATGAACAAACAGTAAAATATATTCATCCCTTTCTTTACCGGCTTGATATCCAAGTGGGATCGATGGGATGTTTCCATGAAACCCCGTACCTACTTTTAGAAAGATTTGATAAGTTTTTGATGATATAACACGTTTTATTTTTACCTGTTATTAATTAATTATAAAAATTTTTATTTAAAAAAATCAAAGGCGGTAATATGAGGAATGGAATAATAAATAAGCGCAAAAAGAAATAGAGATTGTCAAGTGAACTTTAATTTTAATTCACTAATCACTCTAAGATTTCCATTAGCCACTGGATTTATAAGTATGGAATGGAGGCCTTGGGCTTGTTCAGGCAGTGCACTTGTTTGAGTTGAGTTCCATGTTGCATGAGCTGCAATCATCATGAGTGTGAGTTGTCTAAATTTTATAATCATAATGATGCTCCACTTGCAGGCTGAGTTGTTCATGGCAGGTTCATGTTGGAGAACTGCAGATGCGAGCGCCAGATGCCTCAACAAGGAAAGACGAGCTAAGCAAGCCTTTTGTGGACAATTATGGTCTTTTATCTTCATGGGGTTCTTCTCCTGATTGTTGCCAATGGAGTGGTGTTTTTTGTAATCCTCATACTTACCACACTAAGGTGCTCGATCTTCATGGTGATGATGAGCCCTGGCAGCCTTTAAGAGGTGAGATTAGCCCGTCATTAATGAAGTTGCATAACTTAAATTATTTCAATCTCAGTTACAATGATTTCAACGGCAGTCAAATCCTCGAATTTTTTGATTCTCTCACCAAATTAAGATACCTCGATCTCTCTAGTTCTTCTTTAGGCCAAAAAATACCTATTGAACTTTGCAAACTTTCAAACTTGCTGGTTCTAAATCTTATTTCCAATGGCTTAGTTGGTAACATAACTTTCCGTCTTGCAAACCTTTAAAGTCTACAAGAACTCCATCTAAAAGGGAATAACTTAGTGGGCCATATTCCTAGCCAACTTGGCAATCTTTCGAACTTGGAAATACTTTCGATTGCCTACAATGCTGATTTGAAAATTGATGACAACAGTCGGGTTGGCTTTGAGTGGCTTTCCAATCTTCAATCCTTAACTTCACTTGTCTTAAGTGCTGTTAATCTTAATTACTCAGAATCTGTTACCAATTATTGGGAAGCTTCCAAACCTAAGAGAGCTATACCTAGAAAAATGTAGCCTGACTGATATTAATATTCTATCAACTACTCTATTCCATTTAAATTTTACTCCTTCTCTTGTGTCTCTTGGTCTCAGTCAAAACAAGCTCACATCTGTCTTCCCTTGGCTTTTCAATATAAGCCCCAATCTTGCAAGCCTTTTTCTGGACAACAATCACTTAGGTGGTCCTATTCTAGATGATTTCAGAAAATTCATGAATTATGTAATGGATCTCAGCCTTTCTGATCATGACCTAATGGAACAATCAGTGATGTCCGTTTTGGTAATCTCAC